ACACACACACCCACACAAACAGATACACATGCCCAGAACCAAACAGATATCCAAATACAAACACACACATCCCCACACACAGAAATACACATGCATACACAAACGCCAACCCACACAATTCCACATGCATAACTCACAAACACACACGCGTAATCACTCATAAGTACAATGACCAAAAATCACAAACATATTTACACACACACACAAATACACACACTCACACAGATGCGTGTATGTATTCGCACAAAATTTCACGCATGTGCCCAAGCTTCGCGCATTTATGCAAACGCTCACAGACAAATCGGCATTTAGAAGTCCATAAAAAAGGGGGAGAAAGAGTACCAGCGTGTAATTTAGCTCCTCAAAGGAATCATCCAACCGCAAGTACTCTCGTTACGAGTGCCCTAAAAGGCACACCAAAATCGCAGTTCCGCTCATAAACACATCACCCTTAAATTTCAGCCTTCTAGCTTTTCTGGTTGCTGAGTTAACAATTCTCCCGCCAAAACTTTCATACTCCCTCATGTGAGTACCATGCATTCGAGGACTGAATTTGAAATGTTTTACTAACACATGTATTCCATACGAAAATTTCCTCCCAACCCTTACTGTAAAAGGCCAGGAGCCTCTTATTTCCAAAGAAGACTCTCTGTTGCTTCTTGCTTTCTCCGACAACCGGATCAGCTGTAATTTGCTTCTCAAATCGCTAAAATGGCAAACTTGTCAGTTGCTCTGACCGACGATGCATCGTCTCTGGTCAACGCTGGCGATCCCAACCTTTGCCTCTCCCTGTTTATCAAAAAAAAGCATAAAACTGTTGCTTGCGAGACCCTATCATTTTCTCATTCTGACTCAGTGGAAATCATAACTTTCCAGTATCGTAGCAAAATTTCTCAATCTCGCCAGGACTTTTTTTTGGTTTCATCGAGAAATTTCTTAATACATTCGGAAAACCCAAATTCGGTTGAAAAATCTCCATTTTCCCGTCTTCCTACAAACTCCGCTGCACGGTTTTATTAGAAAAATTTTCAGACCAAGTCCAGCCTACTGAATCTCACAGAAACTGTCACATGTTTCATCCAAATACCACGTATTTGTTCACCACAGTATGCGGTGCAAAATATATCTTTTTCAAAATTTGCACAGTCAACTTGCAATTTCCCAATTCAGACAAAAATCACTGACTGGAAACTAGAACAGTTACTTTCTTTAAACCCACTTTCTGCATAAATAACTACTTTC